CAAAGTCTGCTTTTCTGAAGTCCAGGGTCTGTATTCTGCTGCTCTCCTTTCTTCCTTGTGTCAGGATCCTGAACTCGACATCTAATGGTCACTGCCTCCCAGGTTCCCATCCGCTTTTGCTTCCCCTACTAATTCTTCCCTGTTTGTGAGCAGCAGGTCAAGAAAAGCTCTGCCCCTAGTTGGTTCCTCCAGCACTTGCACCAGGAAATTGTCCCCTACACTTTCCAAAAACTTCCTGGATTGTCTGTGCATCGCTGTATTGCTCTCCCAGCAGATATCAGGGTGATTAAAGTCTCCCAGGAGAACCAGGGCCTGCGATCTAGCAACTTCTGCTAGTTGCTAGAAGAAAGCCTCGTCCACCTCTTCCCCCTAGTCTGGTGGTCTATAGCAGACTCCAACCACGACATCACCCTTGTTGCTCACACTTCTCAACTTCATCCAGAGACTCTCAGGTTTTTCTGCAGTTTCATACTGGAGCTCTGAGCAGTCATACTCCTCTCTTACATTCAACGCAACTCCCCCACCTTTTCTGCCCTGCCTGTCCTTCCTGAACAGTTTATATCCATCCATGATAGTACTCCAGTCATGTGAGTTATCCCACCAAGTCTCTGTTATTCCAATTGCATCATAGTTCCCTGACTGTGCCAGGACTTCCAGTTCTCCCTGCTTGTTTCCCAGGCTTCTTGCATTTGTGTATAGGCACTTAAGATAACTCATCGATCGTCCCTTTCTCAGTATGAGACAGGAGTCCTCCCCTCTTGCGCTCTCCTGCTTGTGCTTCCTCCCAGGATCCCATTTCCCCACTTACCTCAGGGCTTTGGTCTCCTTCCCCCGGTGAACCTACTTTAAAGCCCTCCTCACTAGGTTAGCCAGCCTGCTGGCGAAGATGCTCTTCCCTCTCTTCGTTAGGTGGAGCCCGTCTCTGCCTAGCACTCCTCCTTCTTGGGGAAGTGTTGGGGTAGGATGGAGCATGGCCAGAGCATTGCTGCCTTTTGACAATCCTTGGCTGGCAGTTGGCCATTTGGGAGCCACTAGCAGTCTAATCTATGCTGAGACTGTACTAGAACTGCCAGAAGAATCACGGACCCACAACCAGCTCTTTTGTATCTCCTCCTCTCCCCTATCCAACAGATGTGTAAAACCAGCAAGAGCACAGAATCAAGCCCAGTATTTCTCCATCCCCACAAAGGAGGATACAAACAAAAGAGGAAATATTCCAACAAGAACAGGGGTTGCATGATGAGATCTCATTCTGAGGAAACATTTTGTCTAATCCTGTCCCTAACTCGATATCCAGAAGCCCACTGGCACACACTGATTCAGAATCAAGTTAATTCTTTGGTAACATTCTTTCAAACTCTTTACTTTGTACTGCAAATAAAATAAACTGTGCATATGTTTGGAAATCATCCACTTGGAAGCCTAAATTCATACATGAAAGATTTTCTTCTTCACAGTATTCTTGAAAAATTATACATATTTTAAGTGAACAAGTGAAGTTGAACCAACTGTTGTAGTCACCAGATTTTTAAGTGCCCGGTCGCATTACCGACTGAACAGCAACAGCAACAAAATCTGTGCAATTTTCAAAATTTCCCCACATATGCTCCACTTAAGCACATCACAGTGTTTTTAAATAAAACAAGATATGATACTGAGGGTACAGCAGAGCAGAATACAACATACTTTCAGGAATGGATCTTATTCTGTGCAAACACACAATGAGTATGTCTTCATTCCTGAGTTAGCCCAGATGATTGGCACTTGGGTTAGCTAACATCAGGAGTGAGCAGACACAGTCAAAAACCTACCCAAATTACTGGGTTCTCACCTGTCATTCTCCCAGTGAATGGCACTAGGACTTCTGGGGGCATTTCCCATGATTATTTGTGCTGCAGTAAGCTGGCTCATTCTGTGATTTTTTCCTGGGGAATTGTGATAAGACTTGTCTGTACCTCTGGGCACATGGGAGTAATTGTGGAGGACTTGTGGAGGCTTTGGAGGACCATCAGCTCCTGAGTTGTTTAAAGTCATTCCAGTCTCACTTGCATGACAATAATTTTTTTCTCCCTCAAGCAAAAGTGCTTTTCCATCTTTAAGCAGCTGCCTCCAGTTGTAACACATGCTTACTGAATCAAAGGATTTACTGGAACACTGCAAATAACACAAGGTGGGTGAGGTCATAATTTTTATTGGATCAACTTCTGTTGGTGAGAGATAAACACTTTTGAGTTTATACAGTTCTTCAGGTCTGGGAAATATGCTCAGAGTGTCACAGCTAAATATAAGGTGGAACAGTTTCTTTAGCATAAGTAGTTAACATATATTTCAAGGACCATTCAAGGAGAAGTGGCCAGTTAACGCCCTTGCAGTCATAAGAATCTTTTACATTCTTCCCAAGACACACAAACAAGGAAACAAGGGAACACAGGCAGACCCATCATATTTAGCCACAATACTTTTACTGAAAGACTATCAGGACTCATAGAAACCATCCTCAAATCACTCACCACACAAAGGATGAGCTTCCTCCAGACACAACCGACTTCCTCCAGAAACTCTATAACATTAAGAACCTCCCTCAGAACATCATCCTTGCCACCATGGATGTCACAATGATGGCATTGCTGCCAGCCTAAAATATCTATAAGACAATGGACAACACTCACATATAAATCCAAACACATTGCCAAACTCATCCTCATCCATAACAACTTTATATTCAACAAAAAACACTTTGTTCAAACTATGGGAACAGCCAGGGGTACTACGATGGCTCCCCAATATGCCAACCTCTTCATGGGCCAACTCAAGGGAGAATTTCTGGACAAATGCACCACAAAACCAATGATATACCTGAGATACATCAATGATATTTTCATCCTCTGGACAGACGACTTAAACTCGCTCCTAAACTTCCACCACAAATTCAATAACCACCATCCATCCATCAAACTCTCTCTAGAACACTCCCAAACTAGAATGACCTTCCTAGACATCACAATCAGCTTCACTAATGGAACCCTACAGGCAACTATATGCAAGAAATGAGGGATCACCACACCTACCGTCATAGATCCAGTAACCACTCCAAACACACCAAGAAATCTGTTATCTACAGTCAGGAACTCAGGTACCTCAGAATATGCCTGGAGGAGAAAGCCCAGGATACACACCTTAACATACTTAAAACCACCTTCACCAAACAAGGACACTCCACCAGAGAAGTAGATCACATCATGGAACAGCCACCCCCACATTCAAGATCCATTGGTCCTACACTTGCCTATCACAACATGCATCCAGTGCACTAAATGCCCCAATTACAACTATGTGGATGAAACCAGAAAATCACTATGCTCTCCAATGAACTGATGCAGAAAAATGATAAAAGACAAAAACACCATATTACCTGTGGGTGAACACTTTTCACAGTGACCACTCCACATCTGATCTCTCAATACTCATCCTGCACAATACTTTCAAAAGAGAAGACTGGGAACCATGGCCATTGGGAGCTGCAGGGGGTTGTGCCTGTGGAAGGTCAACTTTAGCAAATTGTCTCACGGCCCACAATCAGATTACCCAGTTTGCCCACCACTGATCTATAACCTCTAACTCCCTCTCCTTTTTTCTCCCCTTCTTCTTCCCTATGAGTGCAGAGGTGTTAACTGGCCATGTCACCTAGAATGGTCCCTTGAAATATGTGTTACTTACTTATGCTAAACAATCTGTTCCACCTTATATTGAGCTGTGACACTCTGAGTACCTTTACCAGACCCGAGGAAGAGCTCTGTGTGAGAAAAAAAAGCTTGTTTTTCTCTTATCAGCAGGAGTTGGTCCAATAAAAGATATTACCTCACCCATCTTGTCTTTCTAATATCCTGGGACCAACACGGCTACTACACTGCATACAACTCCACCACAAACAGGCAAGACTAAAACTTCCTACTAACTTCCCCCAATCAAATACATCAACATAATAACAAACATAACAACAACATAACATTAAGATAGAGCACCATCTATTGGTGAAGGTGCTGTCTACACTGATCATTACAGTTCCTCAGATTTGTGGAACTCTGCTTTTTTTAGTGAAAGTGCAAGGATGTGTATGTAGTGGACATCACACCATTATATTGCACCATTAATGTCCACTGATAAGCAAATCTTTGCAATTTCAACACAAGACTTAGGCCTTGTCTACACAACAATATTGCATCAGTCTAACTTAAATTAGGTTTTAAACTGCTTTAGTTAATCTGGTGCAAATCCCTATATGGACACTGATTTTGGCTCATTTCTGTTTAGCTTAAACAGATTCCTAACCGATTTAAACTTAAACCAATAAAAGTCTGTTCAAACCAAAATGAAAGTGTTTACACAGAGTTTTGCACCAGTTTAACTACATCATCTTTAGTTAAAACGGTGCAATTTTCTCATGCCATAAGCATATTAAACTGGGTTTGCAGAATCTCTAAAAAATGTACACACACTTCTTGGCAAAATACCAATCAACAAGGAATGTATATTTGGCAGAGACTCCTTACTTTTGGAAGAGAAGCTCTGGATCCTGAACTCTGTGTAGTCATTGTCAAGACTGTAGTGATGCCCAAAGCGACTCTGGCTGGAGCAGCATCCATGTTGATCCAGAAAGAAACCCAGGACAAAATGACGATCAGCAGGCTAGGAATGTACATCTGGATTAAATAGTATCCCATCTGACGTTCCAAATGAAACTTGACTTCAATGCATGTAAACTTTCCTAGAACATGAAATTGCTTTTATAAATGTTTTTGCACATTTTGTCTTATTTTATGAGCATAAATTAGCTTCCTGACCTCAGGCATATACAGATTTCACAGCATGCTATCATAATGTCTTAGCTCAAAAGCAGAGGCCCCAATATGAAAACATTGTTCTGGTTTAGCTTTTTGGTAACATTGTAGTTTGGTGGAGTTGACATCATAATGTTCACTTGAAACTGCGGCCATTTATTTTTGTGACTGAATCTTATTACTTTACAGTGTGATCACTTTACAAGAGGTCTAGTCCCCTAAAAAAAACTTTTTTAACAAATGAGTCCCATTCTCCTTTGGTTGGGTGGGCCCCATCTCATCCAGTGTTTCTCTCTCCATCTAACCAGTAGACCAGTCATTTGCCTGCATCTAAGTATGTTGAACTTACTCCATCCTTAGTAAACAAAATTATATTGGTACACTTTATTGGGGCTGGAGAAGATGCTGTTAAAAGTAGACACTCAGATGTGGGTAGGGGACTGGTTTTTTGGCTGAACAGATGGTGCTGGACAGCATTATCTCACCAGGAACTGGTTGAATGGTCAAGTACAATACAGAGGGCATTAATGTACCCTAGTCATTTAAGAATTCTGTTTCCTGAAGTTCTATGGATCTACAAGGGCTGAATGCCATGCAATGAAATGGAGTGCGGGAAAGTGGCAGGGGGAAATTGCAGCTGAATAATATTCCTGTTCTTTCACAAATTAAAATTTAAATTGTAATATTCTGTGAACATTTAGCAAAGAAAAATTGTATAGTTTTCTGTGCTAGGTCCTGACTAAATAATTTGAATAGGTTGATAACTTCAAACTTCAGCCCCTTCAATCAGCTGGTAACAGGAATCACCTGACATCCACAGGTAATTCTGCTTACTTATAAGTGGTCAGTTTTCAGAATAGAGAGAGGTAAATAGTGGTGTCCCCAGGGGTCTGTTCTGGGACCAGTCCTATTCAACATATTCATAAATGATCTGGAAAAAGGGGTAAATAGTGAGGTGGCAAAATTTGCAGATGATACAAAATTACTAAAGATAGTTAAGACCCAGGCAGACTGCAAAGAGCTACAAAAGGATCTCTCAAAACTGGGTGACTGAGCAACAAAATGGCAGATGAAATTTAATGCTGATAAATGCAAAGTAATGCACATTGGAAAGAATAATCCCAACTACACATATAAAATGGTGGGGTTTAAATTAGCTGTTACCACTCAAAAAAGAGATCTTGGAGTCATTGTGGATAGTTCTCTGAAAACATTCACTCAATGTGCAGCGGCAGTCAAAAAAGCAAATAGAATGCTGTGAATAATTAAGAAAGTGATCGATAATAGGACAGAAAATATCATATTGCCTTTATATAAATCCATGGTACGCCCACATCTTGAATACTGTGGGCAGATGTGGTTGCCCCATCTCAAAAAG